TTTTTTACTGTCCCTTCCGGTAGTTCAATATGGTCACGTAAATGATATATAAATCACATTTGAATATCTGAAATGTGCACATATTAACTCAGACAAATTATTAACAATTTTTTGTAAATAAGGGTTTATCTCTAATATGTCTAATTATATAAATATATTCTAAAATGTCCAAATGCACAGTAGTAAAAAACTTGAAGAAGCTCTAACTTCCATCATTGCAACACAAAGTATTTTAATTTTATTTAAAACAGAAAATAATATTATGTGTCGCGTATAGCAAAGTTGCCGACTCTACTATTCAAAAGCTACAAGTCGCTCAAAGTCAGGTTCTCCGAAGACTCTTCAAAGTGCATTGGTACATCCGCACAAACAACATGCTAAGAGACCTTAGAATAGACCCGATCAAAAAATACATAAGGGGCAGAGCCCTGAAGTTATATGCAAAAATTGACAGGCTATCCTACTTACCACTATCTAATCTTAGAGTAATCAGTCTCCGCACGGGGAGGAACGCAGATCTTAGATCAATCAATGAATAATTATGAAGCTTATAGGCAATACATATATTAGTCAATGAGATGGGTGGGACCCTGTAGTACCCCAAGCTATCAAAGAGTAAAAGTGCCCAGTTGCGCTGACTCGAAAAACAGGATCAACATATATAAAATAATTCCATAGATGTATATCTATAATTTAAGTATTATCAAAATTCGGGAAGTGGATCTGATGCGACAGAAATTACACATATCAACTAAAAGTTTATCCTGTACAATGCCGTTTATAGCATGAATGATTTTAATGTCATTTAGTTTTTATATATATGAATCAATTTCATCAATCTATGTGAATATTATGAATATAACTCTAATATAGTTATCCTAATATAACTATAAAGTTCTAACTTACATTCAGAACTGTGTAAAATCAATTCGGGTTTTCAATTCCAATTTCTCTTGTAATCTCGCAACTCCATTTCCAATTCCAATTACTTTGGAGTTAAGGATTGAGCGTAATCTATTTATAAAAGTAATCAGTACTGCACAGCTCTGTTTACATCACTACTATTAAACGATCGCTCATCACACATAAGTAGCTCAAACTAGCTGGGGTTCATTACTACAAGTTCAGCATTTAATGCTGTTTCATATATAGTGTGCCCTGAGAAAAGGCAAATAATACTGTTCTCAAGTGGACAACATACAAAATCAGTAACAGATGTTTTTGTCCTGTAGCATAGATATTGTAAACAAATGTACTTTTTCCTAAATACATTTGTTCCATTTATTGAAAGAGGAAGAGAAGGATTTGAGCGAAAGGCTTAATACCTAACAGGCAGAGACATAAATAAGGTGAATTAGGAGTTAATGAAGAAGATGAGGTTATTGCGCTAGCTCTAGGTAAGGCTAGCGGTAGATTCTGTGACCCGGGTCACGAGAGCAGCGGTTAAAGGGAGGAATGATAGTGGGATCGAAGTCTCAATCATCGAAATAAAGGAAAAGATATTAAGTGGGTTATGGTGCAAGGCTTGGACGAAGTCTATGGGGAAGGTATTAGAGGCTGAGATCATCGAAATAAAGGAAGAGATATTAAATGGTTTATGGTGCAAGACCAGGGGAGGGTATTGAGGGTTGAGATGTCGGCGTATAGATTATACAGCCGGTTGTTTATTAAAAAAAATCTTATTTTATTGAATTTAATGAATAAATTTCATCAGTGAAAATGATTATTGCTCCTTTAGATATTTTTATGGTGTGGTATGATAATCTATGGAACTTTTTGTAAGCTACCTTATATTTCACTATAACAAATTACAATAGTTTCATATTATAACCTTTTTATCGGATATTTTAATTTTTTTTATAGATATGGGGGACATAAAAAATAATATAGAGTTATGGATACATACTATAGAACTGTTAAGCTGCATGAATACGACACTATGCTTTTGCACTTGTTAATTTAGTATACAATTCTTTCTAGACAGAGAGCTAACTACTCCGAAGTCATATGCTTTGAGGAATTGACAAAATAAATATATCTTCAAACAAATTCTAAATAAAATTGTCAAGTTTTAATATATAAAAATAAAAATTTAAAATATATAAATTTATGAATTTATATATATGTTGAGGCTAGTTGAGTTGAGTCAGTGCAGCTGAGCACTTTTACTCTCTATTAACTGCGAGGTTTCTACAAAACCCCTCTTTGCGTCTTGACTGGATTATTGTTTATCACTTCATTAGACTAAGCAATAATTGACCTCAGATCTGCATATCTCCCCGAGAAGCCTGTAACCATTCTGAGATTTGATATTTCTATTAATATTAATTAATTTTACATATTATATTATATTATTTTATTTGTATTTAATATATTAATTTTATTACTATTTTTATTAATGATATATTTCGTGACATAGCTATAGTAAGTATATATATGTATATAGTATGTGTATGAAGTTATTTCTCTCTACAGAAAAGCTAAAACTAAAACTTATTTTATTTTTTCTTAAAAATATTATAGGAAGTTATATTCAAACAAATGGTGTTCTTCCAAGAATTACTTAAATCTCATTTAACGATAACTTCAAAAATATTTAAAAAATTTATTAGCATATTACATTGAACTTCATTGCTTTAATAATATATCTACTAATATACAACAGAAAATCTTATTAATTTAAATTTAACAACAACTCTCAGCAGTTATCGCCAGTTTCTTCGCCTCGTTAAATATGTTAAAAAGCAGTATTCCATATTATAAGAAAGATTTGTATTCTGATAATAGCCCCCAGCCCAACTCATCATTAATTATCATTTCACCTCTTTTAATTCTAGTAAAAAGTTTTTATAATATCTGAACATTACCTAAATTGCGATTCGAAAAGTTAATGATTTCTTATGTTTATCTTGCCTCAGGTGTAAATTGCTAATCCGCCTGCTTAGAATATTTCACACAACAAGATACATACTCATATATACACATATATCAGTGCAGTATATATTTACATTCGAAAGCAAAGCTTAGTGAAATCGTCATACCAACTGTTTTGCATGCATTAAATGATTCCACACCTCTTCCAACCAGGCTCAACCAGGTTCAACCATGGAAACCAATACTTTTCCACCACTTCTCCTCACTTTCGTTGGAACCCGGTAACCCGGCGCGACACTCAATTTTAACTTTTCAATACAACGGAAAATGAAAAACAAAAAGCGGAAACAAGTAATGAAAGTTGAATTTACCACCGCGAAGGAAATGGCAAATTTATTCTTGTCCTGCCAAATCAAACTTGAGCAATTAACTTTGTGCGGAACGTGAACAAAACGTTCCAGTGTAGTATTTTGGCGCGCGCATAGCAAACAATTTCAATACGCCAACTAAATAATTGCCAACAATAAAGCAAGCAAACTGGTCTTGGATCCGTAACTGGTACTCACTCGGTAATGGTTACGTGCCACAGCAACCAGACCAAAGCCAATGAAGCAATTTAAAACAAAATTACAACAATAACAATCAGCAGAGCAGCAGCGCAGCAGCGAGTATGACTAGGTCCAGCAAAAAAAAGAGTACAAAAAATTAAAAAACTAAATATATTTGAGAAAAAAAAAAGAAAAAAAAACGTTAGCAAAAAACGTTAGGAGTAGAATTTGTAAAAAGTAGTAGAAATGAAACCAAAGTGGACGCCGCACTCGAAAAAGTTCATTAGCGCTGATCACTGCAGCGGAAGTCTGCGAAACGGAAATGAATATAAAAATAAGTAGAAAAAGACGGTAGGAGAATTATTTCGCACAACGAAAAAAAGGAATGAGTTTAACTAAAATAAAAAAATATCCTGCGAGTAATAAGAGTGGAGAAGTAGCAAAAGACTTTGCATGTTGCACGTCATGTAAGGACATGGCATAAGAGAAAGGGCATTAATAATTATCGAGCGTCTTGAGTTGTCATTACAAGCAGAATAACGGCGCAAAATCGCCGCCATGATAGCGGAAACATTGTGCAGGATGTGGAAAAAGCATGCTGTGCTGCGAAAACTAATGAAAACGAGCTTCAATAGGAAGCGTGTCAATTGTCACGTTGCTGATTTTTTGCTTGTTTCCTGAAATATTAAATAGTTTGCTGTCATTGTTGCCGCTGCGCTCCACTTGGCTCAACATGCGACACAAAAACGCTTACAAGTTTATAAATTGAAGACTAATAAATATTTAAAAGGACTTTTTTATTGCAATTTTAACAAGTTGTGAACAACAAATATTAAGAAATCACAACTTAAGTGGAACAGGAAGGAAAATTAATAATTCAAACCCTTGAAATATGTTTTACGACAATCAGTATATAAGAGGAAATCTGGATATAAATAGAAAATATCTTGTAAAATAAAAAAGAAAATTAACTATGATAGATCTTTGAGTTTTTAAAGAAACATTTTTAAAAACTAGTTTTTTTATAATTTTTTAAAAGCTTTCTTAACAACTGGATAAGTGCTGTTAAAATAGAAGGCCCTAGTACTTAATTTTTGGATAAGAAATAAACACTATAACATATATTTTGATCTACTCACAAAAATCTTCAATTGAGGCCAATCGTGTAGAAAGTAGTACAAATACTTACGTACCTTATACGTATGAATTACCCATGTGCTCAATATTTTCCTAACGTTGGGGCATTAAACCAAGTAGTCGAAGTTTATGAAGGGTGAAGAGTTGAGGATTTTATAAAATCAAATATTGTACATAACATGCCTTAATAATAATAATTATCATTCTATATCGCCAAAACCTGTATATCACTACATTGCCTCCTGTCACCAAAAAACAAGGTTTATGAAAAGTTGATCCCAGTCATTTCTTTTGAAAAATATGAGAAACAGCAAAATTTATTGTATGGGATTACTTTAGTAATGAATTAATAATGAATACTACTTAAGTTACTTAGTTGTCAGCAATAGAAACTAAAAGTCAAAGGCATGATAACCACACACCCTAAAGATCACCTTAAAGATGTCGCAGTCAGCTTTTATTATTCTGCAAAAAGCAATCATTGGTGTATCACCAATGATACACTCTGAACTGTTAATGTCCAAAATTGACAAACACAAGTATTCAAAGAATCTGGCTTTAAGAGTTATGAAGAGTTATCCAAGTTTGTAGTTACTTATATACTAATTTCATAAAATCCTTAAGTTTACAAAACTAGTATAATTCATACTTCCTTTACTGCAATCAAGAACTATTTTCCTTACCGTTGGCTTAGGTAAGTTATCTACAGATTTCTTTTCCTTCTGCATCTCGGAAAGTTCATTATGAATATATAAATTTTTGTAACAAGATTTTTATAATATATACTCTGAGCTATAAATATCCGATTTACCAAATTGTCAAACATTAGTGTTGGAAGAGTTCAGTTAAATTATTTGATATCTAAGGATGCAGTTACTTGTAAACTAATATGATAAAATCCTATATAAAAGTAACTTATTTGATACTTAATTTCCTAGAGTCAGACATTATTTTGCTTAATGTTGATTTAAGTAAATAGTCTTCAGATTTCTTTTCCTCACACATCTAGATATATTCATTATAAATATATAAACTTAAGATATATTTCTTTTAAGACTCCTGCACTCAATAAAAAACGTAGTACTTATTTAGAAGTTTACCTACTCGATTATCTAAAAGTTTGTCTACCTAATTATCTAGTTCACTAGATAATTCTAGAGCCTTAACTAGCTTATTATTTACATTATATAGAAGCTTGTCTAGAAGTTGAAAGCTTCTAAATTTAATTAAAAGTTATAAGCATCTAATTGGCTTATTTAGTTAGACTGAATATATTGCACGATAGACGATAAGATACATAGGATGCAATTTCGTGCAACTAGGATCATAGTATTACTAGTTTCATAGTGTACTAATATATTATATCTGCCTTATTGTATATCAATAACGGTATTAGATTTTTTAAAAAACATTTTATTATTTATATTCCTTCCTTATTTTTTTTTTATTTTAAATTAAAAAAATTTTGTGTATCAAGGAACTCTTCAATTGCACTATTCATAAGTTAGTTTCGGCCAAGACAAGTAATTTTGTGTCAATCAAACATTTTCAGTAGTGCTTATGTCAACTCCTATCTCTATTGCGATTAGTATTGTAAGGCAAAAGAAGTCTATAATATAATTTATAAATTTAAATTTTTTATAACAATTTAGTTGATTTTTGCTGAGGATGGATTCATTCAAGTATACATATACGTGAATTTATGATATTAAATTATGTATCATAATTTTATACATTATTTTTTTATCTTTAATATAATTTAAATATATTTTTATATATTTATCTTGAATATCCTTGCTAAGTCCATTGCTTACATTATATTTGAATATATAGAACATCAATTAAATATGCATATGACTTCTTCCTCTTAAATCTCTCCGTGACTCTTTGCCAATCAATAACTAAATAGTAGATAATTGCTTTGTGACAGAACTGTCTGTATGTAGGGTATTAAAAACACGATAAAATCGAAACAATTGTTCTTATTATCATATTTAGTCGAATAATATAATATAAAATTATATATAAGCTATTATATGTAGTTTTAAAAACATTATATAATTTATTTTTTAAATTTATTTATTTATTTTTACAAATTGTTAAAGTCTAGTACATATGTGTATATTGTGCGTATAAGCCTAAAGTTAACAATACAATGGTTTCTTTGTTTTAACAAATGATTTGTTTTTTCCTGTAACACTACACCTTATATCCATAGCAATAATTGCAAGACATCTTCCCTGTGTTTTAAAAGAACTGCTTCAAAAAACCAGAATTTTTTTTTAGTTTTTATTATATCATAAACCGATTAAAAAAGTACACACATTTTACATCTATGCAATATAAAAAATGCCCATGTACTGCAATATGAGTGTTCACCCCGGAAACAGCATAAATATGCAAAACCCCAACAAAACAAAAAAACGAGAAACCATTTTAAAATCTATTATTCCAGGACATATTTCAACAACATATGTACATTATCACACAACAAATACTAGACATAAATGATTTACCATGAAACAAAACATTTTACACCTCATTCGAAGCAACAGTGCAAGGACAATGTGTAATGCCTCAACTCGAAATCAATGACTATTTACAACCTTGTAGATGGCGCTTAATCACTTTTATGGAACCTTTCTGGTCAAAAAAATACACACACACAAACACACACACACACCCTGCATTGTTGTGCAAGTATTGGTTAGAACAAAGTACACAAACTTTTCCTCTTCATAAATTTGCCATAAAACCATTTTTCCCCAATACCCGTACGCAACGGACATACACGTACAAAAACAACAACTACAACAACAACAACAGTGGTAACCTGAGCACTTCTATCGTATTTTTTCAATCGAAAACGAAAACCAAAATCTAAAATGGTACAATAAATAAAATTATCCTTAAAGTCCTGTAGCCACACAAAGCAAACATTGGATAACTGCATGTGTGTCTGAATAAACTTCAGCTGCTGTACGTTGTGAGCAGCAGTATTGTTGTTGTTATTGTTGTTGCAGATGTTGCTATTGCTGCTGCTGTTGCTGCTGCTGTTGCTGCTGCTGTGTAATCAAATGAAAAGGAATGAAAGTGAATAAAAGCTTGGTTTCAGTGCGCCCATCTATTTGTAAGTGACCTAATGTCTCTATGACCAAAACAAATAAGCAAATAAAAAATTCCAATACATAAGCAATAATAAGGGACATTCAGGATATTCAGGATATTGTGCTTTCACACAAGCTTGGACTTTTGTACACAGCTGGTGTGAAATGCTTTTACTTTGTTGACAACTGCTGGTGTCATAAATATGTCGTCTGTTGTCGGTCCATGTACTCGTTCGTAAGGGTAACACATTATTTGTTTTCTAATATGAATATTATATGAGTTTATTAGGACATCTCAGTTGTTTTAAGACATTTTAGAAGTAGGGTTGTGAAATCCTTTAATCATTTGGTAACATTACAACCAAATCTCTGTTGAGTCCATAACTTAAGCGAATTGAAGCATTTGCTTTCTAGAGATTATAAACAATCAATAAAATGTCTCTTTAAAAAATCACACTTTCTATATAGTTTTGAACACTTCGAAATTTTACATGCTAGTAAAATATTATTAAGTGAATGCGTAGGATCACCATTATAACTCACCATAGGGTTACCATTATACGTATCATATAAAAAATCAAAGAGAAGATTATTGTGCGCTACGTTTTTATTAAATCGTCCGTATTCAAAAACCATAGTTCTAAAAGAGACGAGAGTAGAAACCTATTAGCGATACCTATACCTATAGAAACCTATTCATGTCGGTTAGCAAAAACTTCGTATGTATTATGTATAAGGTATGTATTAAATCAAATTAGAACAGAGACTTATCATAACATAAGCCATTGTTTACCAAATGTCGTCAAAACTACGAGCATATAGAACTCTTAAAGCTTAATTAAAATCTTAAGACGAAAATACCAGCAGAAAAATAGGTATGGTCATCTAACTTCATAATGGACATAGCCATATCCACAATTAGTATGGGATTTCAGGATAAATCACTATCGTAATGGTTATTGATTTAGTATCATTGGTTTCAAAACATTTTAGGTTTCAGTGTCCTAAAATATATAACAAGTAAACAGCAGTATAGATGTATACTTTCATATTTCTATATTGTAGTTGCAATAACTTCTATTTCTATTAATCCTAATTCTATCACGTTAACTAAATGGTACATCAGTGAAGAATTCCACTTACAAACATTAATAATTACCAACTGATCGTCTTAGGTTAGGTTAGATTATAACTACGAACCTAAAACTGACGAAAACTGACAGACTTACCAACACCGCATTATCGAAACTCAGATTGGTTACAGGCTCCTCGGGAAGGTATGCAGATCTGATCTCAATTAGTGCTTGGTCTGATGAAGTGATAAACAATAATCTAGTCAAGGTGTAAAGAGGGGTTATGAAGAAACTTCAACTAACTTCAACTTTATAATAATAACAACATAAACACTTCAAAACAAAAACGCTTAACCTTTCCAACTCTGGGAAAATTTTACAAAAATGAAGTGCACACAAATTTTCAAATTACATAACACTGGTATTGTATCTAAACTGTTAAGTGGAAAAAAAAAATGAAAAATATAAAAACCTGCATTAAAACTAATAAACAAAATAGTAAATTTAACCTTTCCAGTGCACTTACAACGCACAGCTGCCAAACTATCAAACTTAAAACTTTTCTATGAGAGTCAAATAAAAATCGACCAACTTTCTTACTCCTCTTGACTATTGTTACCTCATAGATACCAAAAAAAAATGGACCAAAAAATAATCAATAAGGAATGGTAGAACAAAAATTACTAAAAAAAATGCAATGAGTATAATTCAAGCGCATATAATGAGAGCATAACGAGATTTGCCACAAATCGGGCTATCAAAGCTGGAAAGCTGCTATTGGCTTTTGGCCAGAATAGGGCGAAATTCGTTTATTCTGCGCTCAAAGCAAACATTAATTTCAATTTTCGATTGCAGCTTAAATCAATTTAAACAAAATGAAAAGACGAATAACGTGGAAACAAGGATGAAATAGAAAAACGAAACATTGAAATGCTGGTAATAGCGAAACAGGAGCAAAATCAACTTTATCAACAGGACGAAATTAAACAAGCAACATAAACACAACTTTTGCTTCAAGACGTTTTTTCAAATTAAAACGAAAATGTTAAACCACAAGAAAATAGAAAAAAATATTAAGAAAATATTTAACTTACATTAAAGTAGAATTTACAAAAAAGAAAAAATAAAACTACACAATATATGTGCAAAAAAAAAAATCGAATGCAATTTTTACAATTTTTACTTCAATATTGAAAAGCTGCTGAGATACTTCGATCTAACGTCCTTCATAGTACAAGAAACACAGACATATGCACATACTGTTTCGGTACACTTATATTGATAGATAAATTGAAACATACACAACACTCACTCACACACGCATGCATACACACACACACAGATACTGTAGGAAAAACTGAATTTTCCTGGCGGCCATTATTTTTGTGCCCTTCTGATGCAAC